GCCTCTTTCACTTCGTGTCTCGCTCTTTCCCTATTTTGTTTCCCCTTTTCACCCTTTCGTCTCGGTTCTTGCCTACTCTGCTCCCTTTTTTCACTTTACCTTTTTTTAAATCCTTTTAAATCGTTTTTCTCATTATCTCAATTAATTATATTTCCCTTTTATATCTATTAATTTATCTCTATTTTTAGCGTACATTGGTTTTAATCTTTTATTATTATTTTTTAGCTTTTTACCTGCCTTTTACTCGTTTTATTTTGTTTCCACTCTTTCTTATCCACCCTCTTTCGCACTCTTTTCCATTTCTCTCTCATCGATCCGTCAAAATATCTCGTATTGCGGTCAACGCATAATTTACCGCCAAATTGCTCTTGACATTCGGTCGATCTTCTATTCCGGCAACCGCAGACTTCTCGAGAACGAAATCATACCTTCGCACCAGAACCTCGCAGTTGTTGTTCGCCCTGTTTGAATAACAAACAAAATTAATGTTACAAAAATCTGATGAGTCAACTAGAAATGAATTTTATCTCTGTGCATATATACAGGCTGTTATTCCAAGCGCACTTTAAATCGCGGATTTTTTGACAATTTCAAGCGGATTCATCGAAGAAGAATAAACAGTTCTTGAGCGATCAGAGCGAGTCGAGAAATAAAAGGCTCTTAATGAATTAAGCCTCACTGCAATTGAGATTAGATAACGAGGCTGGCTCAACAGATATTTCAATCCGAGTCTGAATCCTTCGAAAGAATCTATTCGAAATAAGACGTTAAGACATGGGACGAGGGAGGGCAGAATACCCCTCAGGTAGACAAAAGTGTTATTTTTCTGGATCGGGGGGCGCGTATCTCGCGCGGCGCAGCGTCGCGCCGGCAAGCGGGCAAGCGGGCACGTACGCGAAGGGTACGTGTCGCGTTATGAATGAAATTATAAATATGTGAATGTTAGATGGATCGCGCGCACGTAACGTCGAGGGAGAACGTACGAACAAACGAACGAACGGACGGATGGAACGAACGGGGGCGAGACGCCGCGCGCGCAACGCTATTTTTGGAGTCCTTCGCGACGCGACGTGGTCGCGTCACGCCAGCCGATTCTTGCGTTGCGCATCTATTTTTCTTTTCTTTTTCTCTCTCTCTCTTTCTCTCTCTTTCCTTCCCTCGCTCACCTGAGTCTCTTTAACTGCGGATTTAATGGAATCATGTTAAGGCCGTTCAACCGTTCGTGCAACTTGCCCGTGCCCTCCCCCCCTCGTCGGGAGGAACCGCGAGGACTGATACTATCGATGAAGGCACATCGTGTGTCTGACATCGATTAAGTTTCCGAACTCCGGGATGAAAAATTAATTGCACCTTCACCTCGTTATAACTTATAACCCGGGGTGTGACGCAGACTCGCCCCACCGTCCATTGTCGGCATAAATAGCGACGCTTAATTCTAACTCCTCCTATTTATGGATAATCGTAAGATCGCATGTAACAGAATTTATCACGGGAGACCTCGCGGACTTTCGTTCCCATCTCTCCCTCGTCCTTTTCTCTTGCCCTCTATATACCTCTCATTCCTATCTGCCGCTTAATGACAGCGTGTGTTTTTCTCAATGTTCTTTCGCTAAAACGATTTGATAGACCGTACTTTAAAGAGGAAGAGGAAGAAAAAGAATAATGCATGCCTCTGTCGCACGTGTGATGGGCGATAATAAGATCGCCACAGTCCCACAGTTGCGATCCGACGACGGCAAAATCGTCTAAATATGTCTTGGACGTGCTTGCCAAAGCTTGTTGTTGCCACAGGCAACTATTTCGTCCCGCGATTTCGAGTGTCGCCATTCAGGAGTGACGACAGCGAGCGAAAACGTATATAGCGATCCGTTCGTCCTCCTTCACGGGGAAGGTTTCCCTTTTTTTTTTTATTTTGCGTCGCGCCTTGGCTTCCCGGAAAAAAATCTCGGTGGATAAATATAACGTCGGGAGATTGCTGCCAATTTTTTCCCCAGGATGGCCACTTTGCGCCTCGATTTACCCGCGCGGCGGTATTTCACATAGGACTACCGCCTGTTACGAAAGAGGGAGAGTGAGAGAGAGAGAGAGAGAGACAGTTTGGCATAATTCGATAAAGTCATTGAGGCCACGCCGTGCGCCATTATGAAGAGCGAAGTTGCAACCACGCCATCATCCCCGGGGCGAAGTGAAGGGCATGGGAAAAACTGATTAGCCGATGTGCGTTACCCTTTGACTCTGCGTGCACGGTGTCCCGGATCTGCGTCGAGCCTCTTCGCCCGTGGACACTTTTCGATCGTGTCGACGGGTTTTTTTTCAAATACAACAAATTCTGGTGGTTTTTGCTTGACCGTTAGGAAATTCACTTTCTGTCACAGTGACAAAATTTCTTTGAAACATGCTCCAAGGGTAAAACGAAATTTAGCTCATCAGATTGTTACGTTCGTCCAAACGGACACGTAATTGCTCCTCTCTGCCGGTTTCATCCCTCGTCTCTTGGTTGCATGGCTCTAAGGCCTTCAAACACTCTAAACGTCGAAATATCTAGGGATGGACGAGCGATAGATCCTTCGTTCTCCTTGGATAGATAGATTCAGACTTTTTCATTTCCAGATACTCATCAATTTGCGGTTTTATTCGATGTTGCTACGGTAAAAAAAATACATATCAGGATTACTAGGAGTGGGATGCATTAAATTCCGGCTAATTTAAGAACTTGAGTCGTAATGAATTTCCGGGATACTTGAAATTAAATTTGATCCTTCACCGTTGAATTCGTAGTGTCAAATTATACTCAATTTGAGTTATTTTTAACTATTCCTACTGCTCTTACTCAATATATCGTTAATTTAATTGAAACAATGTAATTTAATTAATTAGAGTTAAGAGTTAATAGAGTTAAAGTAATACTTTAACTCTATTAAGAGTTGAGAGTTAAGAGTTAATAGAGTTAAAGTAATACTTTTGTGTTAAAATAAATTTTGACACACATGATGGTTAAAAATAACAAAATGTTATTTAACTCAAAGTATTTAAATTCCATCCGTTAATAGTTTAATATTTAACAGTTTTGGATTCAAATTGGAATTATTCCAATAAAAAATTCTATATGACTTGAAATTATTTTTAAAACTTTTTTTTCATTATGCAACAGTTATAAAAATAATACTATGTTTATAGTAGCGCGGTAAAGTATACCATACTCCGTCTCGGCAATGCCGGGCTGTGAAAAGTGCATCCCCGTCCGAAAGTGCATAACACGCGAGTGGATATTCAACGTCGGCTATGATGTACAGTCCGTGATTATCAGTTCAGTCGAGCAAGTGAGATAAGCATTAATCGACGTGTAACATGAAAAAAAGATCGGTCCTGATCCTAGGCGCAATCCGTGGATGTTGACTCGCGATTACGAGCGAGATAGCGAGAGAGAATGCGACCTACGCGGCGTGAAGGTGGCTGCACATGCCGACGGGCGGGCGGGTGCGCGTATAACCTCCCTTTGCGGTGGCAAACATAACCTCTTCCTCGGCCTTCGCTTCATTGCATTTTCGAACACGAATTTTCAAAGTGCGATAATCTAAACTGAAAGAAAAATTGAATTAAAAACCACGGACTTTTATATGAATTAATTTCATTTTCTTACCATCGCGTGGAACGAATCGAGCGACGGAAGAAACGCATCCGACATCGCGTTCAATTCTTCGCGAGACTAGCGGGACGATAATTGGTTAACTTCACGCAGATATATCGATAATCGATTGAATTATTTTTAGAATAATGTTTAAAGATGATTTCGATTAAACTCCAATTAACTTGTCGGCGATTAATTCAACCCGCAGGATCATTTAAAGCAAAATTTCTAATTTGTATATAATTTGCCGCCTCCTGATCGAATCTCTCATATGTTAGACGAAAAATTAACCATTTTATCAAAATAGCGCGCGTATTGCTCGACAGGTTAATCGCCGGTCAAGTTAATCAGACTTTAGTCGAAGTTGTTCCTGTAAAGGTAATACATTCTTTGACCAATTTGCCCGGTCCATCCTTGGCCAGTCCGTTTCTTCGGTGAAAATTAAATGAAGGTAAAGATATCTTGTCCGTCAAAGTCACTGAAGTTGTTCCTGTAAAGGTAATATATTCTTTGATTTGCCCGGTCCATCCTTGGCCAGTCCGTTTCTTCGGTGAAAATTAAATGGAGGTAAAGATATCTTGTCCGTCAAAGTCACTGGATTCTTTTCCACGAAGCGGACTTCGATGATAACCCCAGGTATACGCTCTGGGGTCTCCGAGACCCCAGGTAAAGTTTGAAACTGCCCAGACGGCACCGTGTCCAAAATCGGGACGTAAGACGTCTTAAGGCCTTTTTGCACATAGAAAAACTTGAGCAGTAAAACTCAAGCAGTAAGCAAATCACAGTCAAGAACTTAAGGCACGGCCCTAAGCGGTAGCGAATCCATACCGTTGATTTCTTACTGCTTAAGTTTTACTGCTTAAGTTTTTCTATGTGCCAAGGCCCTTAGTGCCCATCTACAATAGGTGTTTTAAACCCTAAGCCTTAAGAAATTGTTCAATCTCAATTGAATTTGAGGAGAATAATTGACTGTGATTGATCAATTTCTTAGGGCTTAGGGCTTAAAACACCTATTGTAGATGGGCACTTAAGGACATCTTTAAGACGTCTTACGTCCTGATTATGAACATGCGTGCTGTCTAAGTCTACCATTGGTAGAGAGATACAATTTTTTTACACGTGTTTATTAGTACTTATGATTTTAGACTAATTCTGAATAAATGTACGTATTTTTCAGTTTGTTTACGATCGGAAGAAAAAGAAAAGAAGTCAAAATACCCCGTGATTTTCTCGAGAGTTATAATGAAAAAAGTAGCCAAGTCCTCCAAGCCCCCCTAGCGCGGTGTCTACGTGTGCGAAAAATAACTGTGTGTACCTAGGGTTAACGAGATCTTTCGTTTAATTTCAAGCGAGTATCGGGGTGCCGGATCGAAGAGAACAAAGACCTCGGATTCCGAAGAAGCTCGCACGGTTGAGAAGCGCACGATCCATTTGCACGATTGTTTCAGCATTCGATCATCCTGATCACTCGTGACACTCCGTGCGACTTGCGCGATTCTGGTTTCTATCGGCTCAATTAAATTGTTTGCTTACACATGTAGGAGCAAAGGAAATGATAACATTTTATTGGGGCTTCTCTCGTCCATGCAGCGGAGAGTTAAAAATAGTAGCCAGGCACTTTGCTCCGCCGATTCCGTTTTGCATGTATAATGAATGAATTGTTTGTGACGAAACGTAAGGACATTTCCGCTTCCGTAACACCCGAAGTTTCTCCTCGCGATACGACGAAGGATTGTCGCGAGAGGGACTTCGCGTGATTCGAGACACGTGTAGAATTGGTGATTAACGTTGTTTGTTTGTTGCAGATGTTAACGCCGCAGAGCAGGAGGAGTTGTTTATCAAAAAGCTACGCCAATGCTGCGTGGCGTTCGACTTCATGGACCCGATGGCTGATCTCAAAGGCAAGGAAATTAAACGGAGTACGCTCAATGAATTGGTGGAATATATCACAGCAGGGCGAGGTGTCCTCACCGAGCCCATCTACCCGGAAACCATTAAGATGGTATGTTAATTGATGCGAAAAATCGCGATAAACAGATTATCAGGCTGGAATTAAAAAAAATCCGTCTCTCTCGCTTGTTCTTGTTAATCGCTTCTGATCTCTCGTACGCATCGTACGCGTCAAAATCCTTGCTCGCTCAGCACGTTATCTTGTTAGCCCGAAAGTTATTCTGTTGAGAAAATTAATTAGAAACAGTTTGATTTGATCTAATAGCTCATTGACTTTGATTTTTATGTCCAATGTGTTTATAAATATCTACAATTAATAAAAATTAAAAATATATACATATTCAATAGTGCTTTTTGATATATTATTAGATGAATGCTTCTAATGAATATAATAGACTTTGTGTGTGAGAGAGAGAGAGATTATTTAATGCTGATATTGTAGCTCTATCTTAAAGGTCCTTTGTACGATATTTGTTAAAGGTGTCTGCAAATCTATTCCGTACATTGCCACCTAGTGAAAATCCAGATTTTGATCCAGAAGAAGATGACCCGACCCTGGAGGCGAGTTGGCCCCATCTTCAGTTGGTCTACGAAGTCTTCCTCCGTTTTCTCGAGTCTTCAGATTTCCAGCCTGCTATTGGCAAAAAAGTTATTGACCAAAAATTCGTGTTACAGGTAAAACATTATTACATTACCGCTCTTTACTATCTGTCTCTAATATGCCACGCCTTTTGACGTAATTAAACTAATGAATACAAGTATAACTCGTTATAATTATCTGTTTCAGTTATTGGACTTGTTTGACTCGGAAGACCCCAGGGAAAGAGATTTCCTGAAAACGGTTTTGCATCGTATCTATGGCAAGTTCCTGGGTCTTAGAGCCTTCATACGCAAACAAATTAACAACATTTTTCTGAGGTATTTATTTGAACGTTGTCTTAAAAAATGTTATCCTGTTTATCTTGTATTTTAATAGAAATTTAATTTTACGTAATATTGTACCAAGTAATTTATTAGCAATGTCAATATTACATAAAAAATTTCATTTTTTTTATCTTGATTTTTATATAATGTCCCAATTTTGTTATTATTTCAGGTTCGTGTACGAAACGGAACATTTCAACGGGGTTGGTGAACTTCTTGAAATTTTGGGTAGCATTATTAACGGATTCGCTCTTCCCTTAAAAGTTGAGCACAAGCAATTTTTGGTTAAGGTACGAATATATTCTATTAAGGAAATTGAAGTACACATAGATTTCATTCCAATCTCCTATCTTTCTGAAATAAATTGTTTTCTTTCTCACACGCTAAAATTTTCTACTTTTGAATTTGCAATTTATTTCAGTTTTATTTAATATCCCGTAAAAGACGTAAAATTGGAATTAAATACGATTCGCGTAACTTCTTGTTCTCTTGAAATATATTTTTCTCATAACTTTGGCAATATTTTCCAAACCTATTCAGAGATGCATATTTAAATTCTTGCCTTAATCTTTTGTATATATAGATATACATTCGTAAATATATATTAACCCTGTAAAAGCGAAGGAGGAGAAGGAAAGAACTCGAGACAAGAAAAATGATTTAAAAAGCGTCTTTTTGCTTATTTCCTTAGGTGCTGTTACCACTACATAAAGTGAAATGTTTATCGCTCTATCACGCGCAGTTAGCTTATTGTGTGGTGCAATTTTTGGAAAAAGACGCGACTTTAACAGAACCAGTTGTACGAGGCCTCCTTAAGTTCTGGCCTAAAACGTGCAGCCAGAAGGAGGTGATGTTCCTCGGTGAAATCGAGGAAATACTGGACGTTATAGAACCTAATCAATTTGTTAAAATACAAGAACCTTTATTCAGGCAAGTCGCACGTTGCGTGTCTTCACCACACTTTCAGGTAATTTATACAGCATTTTGCACTAATTACGACGAATTCGTCGTGAAGTCGCGAAATAATAAATTACTTTTTTTTTTTCGTTATTACAGGTTGCGGAGAGAGCATTGTACTTTTGGAATAACGAGTATATAATGTCTCTAATTGAAGAAAACAACCAAGTAATAATGAAGATTATGTTCCCAGCGTTGTACAAAATTAGCAAGGAGCACTGGAACCAGACGATCATAGCTCTTGTTTATAATGTTCTAAAGACATTTATGGAGATGAACAGTAAGCTCTTCGACGAACTTACTGCCAACTATAAGTTGGACAGGCAAAAGTAAGGCCAAAATTTCGAGACTTTTTACAATTTTGCGAAATTAAGCGGAATTTTTTCAATCCATTTTAGTTTTTAATTAAATCTTGATTATTTAGTGCTATATTAACCAGTCTAATGAAATCTATCTAAAGCTATATGAAGAATAAAGAATTCCTTACATTTTTTTCTTTACATGTATATGTCTGTATTACAGAGAGAAAAGGAAGGAGAAAGAAAGGGATGAGATGTGGAAGAAACTGACCGAATTAGAACGACGCAACACTCTCGAACGTAATGCTCTTGCAGCTTCCTCCAATAATCCAGTTCCTGCCACTAACACATCTATGACGCGAACTCGTCCCTGAGCTGGTAAAAATATTATTTTATCTATTTCCAAAGACTTTTTATCATCTTGTTTACACTTTCTTTATTTTTAAAATTAAATACTCTGGTGATTAAGTACCACATTAAGATCTTATTCCAGCAAAGTCGGTTTAAAATCATACGAACAATCATTTGTCAATTTAGAATATATAAAACAATAATATAGAATATATAAAGTACGCAAAGAATATTGAAGAAATAAATGTCTTAAAATAATTTTTATATAAATATCTAATAGTTCTTTGTTATTTTTTTTTGTTTTAGGTGGAAGTACGGTATCACGCTGCCCGATTGTTAGCTCTTAGTTTACGTCGATTGTCCATATACTACACGCAAAAAATTCTTGTTGTTAGTGAAACGAAGTGTCTCACGAAAGCATTCTTGACATAATGTAACTCATTTTATTAGTTGTGACCGAAATGGGAGAAATGATGGAAGCAGGGAAAAGAAATGAAAAAGAGACGATGCAGAGTTAATTCACGCAATTTTATTCTTCTTTAACAACAATAACAACATTAACAACAACAACAACGTGGCGATTAGTGAATTCCAAATAATTTTATATGTGTAATATCGGGTATATTCACACTTTTGGTTTTTCTTTTCATTTGGAAACGGCAAAGGGTTTCCAACTGCATGATGTACTCAGTGTCAGCACACAACAATACGACAATGCGTTAGTCCCTTCCTGACTAAGATTTCGTTACCGCTCTCGGTAGGAGGGGATTACAAATCGTGGTGTAATAAATTTCGGAATGGACGAAGTTGTACACGTCGTTGTGATCCTTATGTTCATTTCTGGAGGACGCGATACTTTGCGCACTCTCTCAGACGACCAGTGTGTCGCCTCCTGACTGACCCTTACGCTGATTCTTGCTGCTCCTGATAGAGCCAGCGAGAGTGTTTGAATATATGTATCATATATTCGTATTAACGCTACTGATAACTGTAACAGGTACGTAATAAAAATTAGGTAACAGTGAAAAACAAATATAAATATGCATATATATATAGATATAGATTTATATACATATATATATATAAATCTATAAATATATATATATATATAATACGATATATTATATATATAAAAAAAGATATAGTTAATACGAGATACAAAACAAGTCACAGACATATATAAACACACAGACACACATATACACAGAGGCGTACACCAAACTGCGATAAATACTGCGAGAATACATGTGTAAAACGTATATAGGCCGATGTGCTACTAACATAGAGACTGCTGTGACTGAGTGCCCGCGGCGAGTTGATAGTGAAACAAACCTTTTTTCATGAGCGTGTGGCCGCGGCGAGAGACGGCGTACACGAACACAATAGTTAACGAGTGATAAGGTTCAATTCGCGCGGACGATGGAGGGAAAGGAGATATGCGAGAGAGAGAGAGAAAAAAAATATATATATATGTTGTTTTCTAATAGAAAAAAAAGAGAGAGTGTGAGAAAGAGGGAAAAATAATGGGAGCGAGGGGACGAAAGGAGTATACAATAAAAAAGAAAAAAAAAGGAAAAGAAACAGATTTGATTGTACCAAAAACATCCGTTGCTTATAAATATTAATTACGTGATAGCGATACAGGGCGCGCAGGTATAAGGATCCACTTTCGGAGCTGTGCTCCCATGCTGGCAACCGTAGGGGTGGGGGGGGGGTCGTTTTTAAAATTTCTTACCATCGCATAATAGTAATTAATGATACGAATAACGATAATGGTAACAATAAAGAGTAATTAAACGAGAAAGGGGAAAGCTAATAATAAACGACAATGGTAAAACAAATAATAATAGCTACAGGTAAAATAGTTAACAGAGATGGGTGACCGCTTGCTCATACATATTTTCATGGAGATAATCGGGGAGACACGCACGAGAATTGCCATTGTTCACCGTTTTTCTCTGTTCTTTTTTTTTTCTTTTCGAGATTGCTTTCCGATGATCTTTCTCGTCGAATGTTTCTCACGATTTATACACACGACTTGCTCGCTTTTGTGTTACGCTCCGTTCACCTTCGCTACGTAAAAACCTCATAAGGAGACAGAGAGTGACATATACATATATAAATATATACATATATATATATAATTATTGTAAAATAATGTAATGTGACTTTGAAGACGTAGGTGAGAGTCCAAGAGAAGATTCTTTACGCGTAAATAGATACACATTTATTAAAGAATTGTCTAAATTATTTCCATTTTTTTTTGGCCGCTCTTCAACGCATCCCGTGTTTGTGCCGAGGTAAATCGTAAATGGGAAATACAAAGAAGGCGTTTCGCATTTCATGACTCCAACGAATATTCCGACGAGTACATAATTGTTCCTGGCAGAAACATAAACGGTGGCCTTTAACTTGTATCCAAAAGAGATTTTCGCGAAAGGAAAAATCCGACTCTGGGAAAGTTATTGGAGAATCCGTTGTTAAAATTAAATTCGGGGACATCTTGTACTTTTTACAAATGATCGTTTTATGCATTACGATAAAAACGGACAATAATCTTTGGATGTGTGTGCGTGTGTGTATATATATGTAACGTCAAATACGAGAAACGGTAGTTCTTGAAAATCATTAAAAGTAATTAAAGTCGTTACTTTTAATGATGATTGCTGATGCCGTCGTTCGATTATTCATTACACTATTAAAAGTTGCGACATCAATTTCATTTCTGTCGCTTTAGATTTTCTTCCGGAAGGAAATATGTATTTGGAAGGGCAGTAAGACCTTGAAATTTTTAAAGATTAGCTTCGAGTGCACTTCTAAGGCAATTTTCCTTTAACGCTGACAAAAACGTATTCGTTGAAGAACCAAGCGTTTTTTTTTTTTAATCTAGCTCTCTCTGAGGAAAGACCAACTTTCAAATTTGCTAAAAAATTCGTCGTTTAAAGTTAAGAATATTCATATAATATGAAATTTGTATCGGATGTCCCAGATTAATTATGCTCTCAGCTGCACAGTCGAATGATTCTCAAGTGGGATTTTTCCTGAAAAGTTTTCCCTCGAAATTTCAACGTTCTCTGTGCACCATCTTTCTTCGCTTCCCTTCTTAATTCTCAATATTAAATATTTTAATGACCAACACATTCTTTGTGAGTGGTTTTTCCGTCGTTCGCACGATGACTCGAGGACAACATTTATTTTCAGGGTTTCCGAATCTTGTAAAGGGGAGAGCAGAGCCTGCTACTGGATGGACCGTCTGCACATTTTGAGTTGTATAAAATGATTTTTTAATATATCTAAATGTATAATATATCTAAGAACGAGGTTGAATGTGTAACTCTCTCGTCAGAATGGTTAGAAGTATTGCAGATGACCGAAAACAAATGATTGAAAAAATTCTTTTTTTAAATTTTATTTATATAACACGGTAGTATTATATTCCACTTGCAGTCTTAATTTGACAATCAAAGAAAAGAGGATAATCACCTAGTAAGACATGTGAAATTGTGATACTAAATAACATTAAAATCTCGTAGATGTAAGTTAATTTTTCTTTACTTTTGTATAATTTTTGTTCTAGAGAAATATTAAACTAACTTTTTTTGTGAATCTTTTTTTAATCGCTTTAAAATTATATTTATCATCACTCGATCATTCGGTTTCAAAAAATCAATCTCATTAAAGGTTGGTATTACGTAAGTTGCAAAAAATTAATTTTGTTTTAATTATAATTAAAATTCAAAGAAAACTCATTTTAGAAGGAAACATTGAGCAAAATGTAGCCAGTCGTGTAAGAAAAAGAAAAACAATTAGAATATATTAATCCAGTAATGAGAAAAGGAACAAAGAACAGAGATGGTTTTTTTAAACATTTATATTAACTTTTATCTTTTTTTAATTGCTTAGAGATGAATGTATATCGTCATTTAATTGTTCGATTAAAAAAAAAAATTATTAAAAGGTACGGCAGATTAAATTAAGTTGCAATAAAACGAACTCTTTTCAAATTATAATTAAAATTCAAAGCGAGCTTATTTAGAAGGAATTAAGCATCGACCAAAATGTAGCCAGTCGTGTAAGAAAAAAAAACCAATTAGAATATATTAATCCAGTAATGTGTGAGAAAAGGAACAAAGAACAGAGATGATTTTTTTTAACATTTATATTAACTTTTATCTTTTTTTAATCGCTTAGAGGTGAATGTATATCGTCATTTAATCGTACGATTAAAAAAAAAATTATTAAAAGATACGGCAGATTAAATTAAGTTGCAAAAAAACCTAATTCTTTTTTTAAACCATAATTAAAATTCAAAGCGAGCTTATTTAGAAGGAATTAAGCATCGACCAAAATGTAGCCAGTCGTGTAAGAAAAAAAAACAATTATTCAAATATGTTAATTCAGCAATGAGAAAAAGGAACAAAGAAAAGATATAATAGTTTTACCCTGACATTTCGCAACTGCACCCTCCCCCTTATTCTTCATTTCTCAAATTGTTTTTATCAATTTTTAAACTTTTCCGGCGCATTTTTTTTCCAACACTCACAATGCATGAATATCTCTACGTTTGACTCGGAAATAAATGAAACGGTCGTCGTCAAGTGTATAAAAACGTTCTCGAGTGTAGATACGGGTGATCGAAGAGTCGGACGTATGTTCGGTTCGACCACTCGTCGCATTCATCCCCCGTTCATCCCTCGAACCGAGTATCATTATCGACAATTCATATTCCGTCTTTTGTAATTGTCTTGCTGATAATCTCAAAGCGATATAAAGCGCATACGCGTATTCTCTTGCAGATCATACGATTGATTCTCTCGTCCCTTTTATAGGTTATGTGACATCCCTGGTCTCGCGCGTAAACCTAAAAAAAAAAAAATGATAAGACCTTTCTTGGAACGGTTTTTTAAAGTAAGAACCAAGCAAGATGCCATACAACTTAGGCGAAGGCTTTCGATATTTTATGCTGTCGTTGGATGGCATTGTTTCGGCCTCGCTTTCTACGTGATCATGAAAAGGGAGATGCCAGAAGACGCCCACGAACGAAGTAAGTCTAGAAGCCTCTTCTTCTTTAGCCGAGCTCCTTACACAGTTGATCCTTTTCTCTTTTTCTCTCCAACGTGACGAGAAAAAGAAGAAAGAAAAACCGTGCAAGAAGTTTATTTAAAAAGAACAGGCCTTAGGTCTTGTCGACTGTTGATCTTGAATCTTTGTCAAGGAGAACGACGGAACATCTGTTTTTACCCACAGGGATGGCTATTGGGCTCTTGAGTCCTATACCTCATACCACTATGCACGTGTATCAGATATCGGGCCTGACGCTTACCAATGATTTCGATATCGCGTACAAGGCCAAGCTTGAGCAGATAGAGAGAGAAACCAAGGAGGGTGAAAGTCCAAAGACGGACGAGAATTAGGTAACACTTAATTATTATTTATTATTTCTCTCGTGTAGCGTCATATAATATGTATTATCAAAAAGAGATAAATTTCGTTGGGCTTTATACTATCTATACGTGTACAAAATACAGAGCTATCAATCACTCAGTGTAACGCCTGGGAGAAACTTTTTCCTCGGTCACTCAAGAGATAAACGTACAATATATATAACAATTGATTGGTTCGGCAGACCTCTCTCTCTCTCTCAGGGAAGAGATCTCCGTAAGGCAATAGCGCCAACGTTGGACCCGCCAGATTCCGGATTCAATTCCTTCAGTCTCTGTTCCATCTCGCATAGCAACGCCGATCTGTAGGAGACAGATATGCAAAAATATAAAGTGTTATGTTTGTTACATTTGAGTCTAGGATGATATTGATCGAGAGGATTCTTATTTCAAATCTCATTCCTCACCTATACTCTTCGTAACGCATCACAACCTCCTCCAGCTCCTGCTTGTACAGCCTGGTGAGCATGGCGTTGAAGCAGTCCAACTCGGGCAAGCGGAACAGTTCCCAACGCAGCTTGCGATCCAAGGCTATCGAGGCTCTGCTGTAGACGTACAGCCAGTGCGGTATCTCCTCGTTGAGATAAGGATTGGCCGGCACCAGGACGCTGTGAGAGTGAAAGTGGGTGTGCCGCGGTGGCGACACGACCCGCACCGCTTGCATCTCGTGCGGGTAACACGGGTGTTCGTACTGCGCCTGGCGCGTGATGTGGCTGAAAGAGGAGAAAGGCAAGAGATGCTTTCATCGCGACGGCCTGCCTGAAGTCCTCTCCCGAGTTCACTCACTTGACGTAATAAACGCCGTATTCGGGAGACTCAATTCTTTCCCATCCCGTTGGCAGACCTTCCTTCTCGAGCGGATGCGACCAGTGCGTGGTCTTGGTATTGTGGTCGATGTAGTACTTTCGGCCGCGAAGCGTGAAGTCGACCGACCACCCGGGCGGCAAAGGCAACTCGTCCTGCTGCTGTTCACTCCGAGAACTCGATCTCTCCGAATAGCACCTACTGTAGCTTTAACCGAAAATTGAAACGATTATATTTTCGACGAGCGTAAGACACAGAAATGATTTTTACGTGTATTCGTAATCGTGGAATGAAAATTGTATCAGTTTCAATATGTAACTTCAACACTTTAGCTACACTGGCTTTTAATCCTTTAATAAATCGTGATTCTTGTAGACTTTTTAGTTAAAATACTACTGATGAAGTTTTGAAATGCAATGAAATGAGATAAAAATACGCTGTAAATTACTATAGTAACTTTCTCTTAATAGCAGAACGTTATTTGTACGTCATGCAACTTGAAGCTTCAATAATCACGTAAGCAATTTGTGTAGTATAAAAAGTAGGTAGTATAATAATTCGTAATTAATACGAAAACTGTGGAAAAATTACTCTCGTACCCGGCATTGTGACGATAAACGGAGTGATTGTAGTCCTCGTAACCAGAATCGACGTCGAAAGGCATGTAAGGCATCTGCGGTGTCTGGACCCTGTCCAGGTGGTACTCGGATCCAGCGTATTGATTCATATAAGTGTGCGACATTGCGGGCGATAGTTCGGGATGGTACACGGGTGTCGCGGTTCTCGAAAACATGCTGTCGTTCATTCCGGTATTAACGGAAAGGCTGGCAAATCTATCGTGAAAACAAAAGAGGATTGTAATCGGAGGAAATATATAAATCACGACGTGTGTTCTTCTGGGTAAAGTTCCCTTTCGTTCTCTTAAACGTCTCTGTAGCTTTACTTTTAAAATATTGTCGCTTAACAGTATGTTACAGTTATGAAGTGTCATTTCGTAAGACCAAATTAAACGTAAAATCTATTATTGACCTTTGAGCTAAGTTGGGAACGGAACTGTTTGGCGTGTACTTTCCCTCATGGCTGCCCAGACCGACGGCGCTGGTCGTGGTTTTCAGATTTCCGAACTTTTGCACCATACTAGGTTGCGGAGAAATGGACTATGACACGAGAGAAGCATCGATAAAAATCAAAAATCTTCAGACGTCTTCTTACATGTTTCAATGATTCTTGGCCAGGACACACTGCTGCTTGGGAATTACGAGATAGCGTATAAAACTTTTTTCGTCGAATGGGAAAATTGATGGGCGTAATTCGTATTCTTATTGGATTCGTTGTTAAAATTGGAATTTATGTTTTGCGCAAGGATATATCCATTATTTTATATAATTTTGTGTTCTTAGCAGCTTGTAGACCGACAAAAACATTCTTTTGACAACGCACCATTACAGGAAACAGTAATCTTGGCAGCATATTGTACTAAATTAAATTAGTATTAATTAAGTATAAATTAAAGATCTTGTATTGAGATAGGGACAAAAAATGAAATAATATGAGAGCTTATAATTTAATACTGGCAACCTTCAATAATATTCAATATTATATATAATATACATATAATATTATATGTATAATATAATAGCTTCGCAGCATATTACAATAAATTAAATTAGTATTAATTAAATATAAATTAAAAAAGATCTACTTACAACAGGGACAAAAAATTACTTTTTGAATAATATGCGTTTATAATATGAGTATTTAATACTGGAAAACTTCAATAATATTCAATATTATACATATATATATATATATATGCTAGGGAATATTGCGTAACGCAATATATCATGTGCTTATATGCAATACAATTTTTACCGTAGAATTCGGTATCATCGGATGATTGTTACGCCGTCTCTGCCTCTTGTTCGGCTCTGTCGTCCACACGTTGATAACTAAATACAAGTAATGCAAATTGTATAATATATATTTCGACCGTAAAGTAGGTACAGTGTTAGATAGTATGAGCGAAAAAGAATGAAGGGATGGACTTTGTCTTTTAAATACGTATCATTAAAAATGTACTAGTTTGCTAATATAAAAAAAAAGATACATGAAAACGAAAGAAAATTTGTGAGAGTCTGAAGTATAATTAAGTTAATTGCAAGATATAAGTGACATCTAACGACAAATGTGTAGTACGTGAAAATTGTCTTAAGAATGCCCTTTTTTACATTCAAAGGGAGAGGGAGAAAGAGAGAAGAGTAGAAAGGAGTAAATTCCGAGATACATACTCGGCATCTCGGGTGGCGTCTCCTTCTTCACGTATTTGCCGACCACCCCTTCCTTGATCGTTCTCAGATCTTTGTTCTTTTTTGACAGCATGCTGCGCGTCGGGCTTGTCAGCAGCGAGATACAGGATACAGCAACGTCAAATCGGAGAATAGAAACGTCTCAAACGTCACACAACACCGAAGCGACTTAACCTATCGGGCGCGCTGCGAGTCGCGACATTCGACGCGGATGGGTCCGCGGGTGTGGTTTAAGAAGGAAAGAACGAGGTACGCGGCAATGAGGAGTAACGAGAAACAGAGAAATTACATCGCCCGTTGTCTAACCCTTTTCGAGTACTCGGAAATGTCGCATCTCGCGCGACCCCCCCTGAAGTTATTCAAGGTTTGTCGTCGTCGTCGTCGACAGGCACGGTTCACTCGGAAGACTGTGATAGGAAAGGGAGGGAAAAATATCTCCGGTGGGAGATTTTCACGTTTATATGTATATTAATTTTAAGTTACAAATTTTTTAGATTAAATTAAAACTAAAATATTCTACATTATAACATGTGTGTTATTATAATATATATCTGAAATATTTTTTGACTTATTTATTTTGTTAATACCGCAGTTCCGGTATTAACATCTGCGAACATCTCCGAGCGACCAGTTGATTTCGTTGCAGCGGAAATTTGTACGAACATCTTTTAGTTTGAGTGCGAAAACCATCTGGAATTTGATCATCAAAATTTACTGCAGATTTTTTAAAGTATTTGAATTTTTGCGGATTGAAGGATCTGTCGGTCGGTAAAGTAATAAACGCTTTGCTGATCGATAAAGTCGCGTGTGTTATTTTAACGAGTTGGTAAAGTAGCGCGTACAAATCGCGGAAAGATTCGAATTTTCAAAAACCGATTTTTCAAAGTATCAGAAGAATATTCTAATAATCAGATAAATAAAGATCGCGGTTTCAAGAATTTCTAGAAATTTCAGTTGAATTCCGAGTCACGAAAGTTTAAAATTCGGAAAGTAAATATCGGAAGAAAGATGGTATGTGGGAAAAGTGATTATAGATCGGTCGTAAATCCAAACGTTGCAATTTCGAAATTTAATTTATCATTATCATGAGTCCTCTCTTGCTGTACTGTACATGTATGTATGTATATACGGAGAGGTAAAAGCCACAGTGTAAGTCAAATTTTTCAAGACATTGACCTATATGCGCATTATTTATTACTAAATAAATTCTATAGTATATGTGACGTAAACTATATGCTAAATGCGCGCATTTATCGATAAAAATGTGTTCGAAATATGGGCCATTGACTCGTATGCATAGATGCAATCTATACAATATATAAATTGCATCTATGCACACGAGTCAATATTTCAAAAAAATTTGATTTACACCACTATGGGTTTTACCCCTCCGTATATATATGTATACATATATATGTATACGTTTACTATGCCGCACACAGTCACGGGCATGGATTTTAAATATGACGCGCGCACACGTCCCGTGTGCGCTCGCAATTGGTGCAACTTCACGTGCGAGGGGCGCATTCACGACGCTCGTCCCCCCCCTCGTCCCGCAGCTCGTAGTACTACGCGCGCAAGGCGGTCGCGCGCGCGGCGAGGACGGCGAGGTTGGCAGCGCCGATTGGCTAGGCGTGACGCTAGGCGCGGAACGCGGCGAACCGGACCGAGAGCCGAACATGGTGCGAGGACTGCGAGGCGAAACGTGAGGCTGCTACGCGTTGTCTTACGGAATATCGATTGGGTCCCGGCGTGGGCACCGCGCGCGTCATGCGGCGATCATGAACGGCGTGCCCCCGCGACGACGACGACGACGACGACGACGACGAGGAGGAGGAAGAGGAAGAGGAGGTGGTGGAGGAGGAGGAGGAGGAGGTGGTGACGGTGGCCCGGATCGCGAGTGCCCCGCGGCCGATTTAACGCGAGAAGGGTAAGCGCCGCGGCGTCGTCGTCCATTCGCCTCTCCCGCTTTCGTCGAGCTCATCGCGCGACCACGTCCCCCGGACGTCCTCCCGAGCGACGTGCGACGTCAACCTGTCCCCCTCGCCGGGCGCTGCTTCGAGATGTCTCCCCCCCTCCGGCCGATCTGTCATCGTGCGTTTAGCGGCGGCTCGAAGGGGGCACCCGGGGCACCCTGTTCCCCTGGCCGCTTCCCCGACGTCGATGAGATTCGCGAGGAGGTTTACGTATTCAGCGAATTTAACGCGCGATGAGAATCGACCCTCGCCGTTGTCGAGCGGATTTGATTGACTGTCAAGCGACGTCGTGGGAAGATCTTTCGTAATTCATCCGAGAGAAAGCTCCGATATTCTTTCTTCCACTTTTCCCCTTTTTTCGGAAGACTACGCGCGAGTATCTTAGTAATTCTTGAATGGATCAGCCTCAAGATCCAGAGTGTCTTTGATCGTGGATGAAAGGAATGGCAGAATTGATCTTTGTGACTCATATCTGTAGTTGTTGTCATTTTAATGATATCGTGACTCATCCTTCCTGCTTACGTTGCCCTACGTGGAACTCAGATTGCGCTATCATGTTATTGTTTCAGCATTGTCAACTGCGTCGCTCTGGAACTTATCATTGCAGTTTCTCACTCATAATGGACCATGCGCAAAGTACAAGCGAACGCACGAATATGGAGTTTGTGAGGCAGTCGTACATTGCCTGTAATACTTTTTCTCAGGTTAGACAATCTGCAGCATTGATTACCCATAGAGGTATTTTAAATGAGAAAAAGACATTGACACAGTCGTCCTATTTAATTTTAGGGGGTGTCATGGAAATATCAAAAGTTCTGGCTACTGTAGACTTTCCAGTGCACAGCTGAGGCAAACGGAATCTGAGATGGACTCCCCGCCATCATGTTCGCTAAGCGCTGGGCCTCTCAGTGATCTTGGTAGCAGTGGCCTGGGGGGTTCGATATCCAGCGATTCCGTTAGGGCACATCTTGCGATGGAGGTAGGACGATTTCCTTTGACCTTCAATTAAAGATTCGATGCGCGTACAACAATTCGTTTCCTAAGGTAAGGGGGAAAGATAGAGGCCTAGAAGCACCATTGTGCTTCTATTTCCCCCCCTTACCTTAACGAATCGTTGTCCACCAATGTACACCTGATGATCTCTGAAATGAAATCTCTTTCAGATGCAGGAGAGCGACATAGAGAGCAAGTCTCTATCGCAAGATTCTTTCGATTATTCGGACGGCATGTGCGGCGAGAATTTCAACACCCTGAAGAAGGGCCCGGGCTGGGGTGACGCGGACGGCAAGTTGGAGGTCGAGGTGGTCGACGTGGCGATCAAGCCGCCGCCGGAATTTCAGGACAGTCCGTCGCCGCCAGACTCGGAGTCCTCGTCAGTGCCGATTCTGAACTACGCGCGATTGATGAGACGCCGAACGCCGCGCTGGATCGACGACTACGCCGAGAACCTGGTGCAGTCGATGATGGAGGAGGGGCTAGCGATCTCTTGCCGCATCTCCTGGCCGGAAGGGAGGATCGCGCCAGTTACGATTCCGGTTTCGGTGGTGGCCCGGTCCCAGCAGACCAATCCTAAACGCATGTGGGATCTAATGACGCCACCGGTGTGCCAGGGCGCTGCCACTATCACCATTACTCCGTACAATACGCTGAACCGGCCGAACTCGCGCTGCTCGCTGGCCTCCTCGCGACTGTCCAGCTCGCACAATTCCATCAACACCACCGGGCTCGGCCACAAGGCTGACGACAGCAGCTTCATTACATCCGCGATGTCGCACGATGTGTTGACCACAAGTGAGATTAGTGACATGTACAACGTACCCTTTGATTCAGACATTTACACAGTGCCAATCGACGTGGTGCGGCCGCTACACGATCTGCGAACGCCACAGCGGCCTAAACGGCACCGGCATCATCGCAAGAGACGGCGGAACGTTTCTGCGAGTTCGCAGAGCGAGTTGGAAGCGCACATCCAGCAGGCGCGTCATTATTGCGGCAAATCCCGTGCCATCACGCATGTCATTAAATCTCAGCGTTTGCTGGCCGATGTGTGCTGCAACGAGGGCAATCCTGGTGTCGGTGGCGCAAGCGGTAATGGTGGTATTAGCGGCGGTGGCAACGGCGGTGGTGCCGGCGCCGGCGCCGGCGGCGGTAGTGGTAGTGCTAGTGGTGGCGGTAAACGACACAGCGTGCCGGGTACTTCCGGTCGTCACGGTGTCAGAGCGTCGAACGGACATGCACATAACATCGGCGAGCCGATCCACATGACCCTGCACGAGGTGCGACAGTATCTACAGACGTTGTACTCGAGCTCGAGCGATTCCAGCGAGAATAAGATCAAACGGGACAAGGCTCCTTTGCTGGGCCACACGCCGGTGCATCTCGCCGCGACGCCTAAGGCTCTCAGTGTAAATAATAATAATAGGTAAGGGTGATAACTTTTATCGATAAGATAGGCGGCGAAAGAACGTCTTTTTTTTTCAGAAGTAATGAGCTTTTATATTCCAGATTGTTTTCTTTTATTTACCTTTTATATATCAAGTTTAAATATCGAAGGTAAATAGAAGGAAACAATCTCTTTAGATATCAAGAGAGATAGTATCTTTAGATACCAAAAGAAAGAGATATCAAAAATGTTCTTGGCTACTGTCAAATTGGCTGTAATAATAATCTAATAATATCTTATGCTGTCTAATAATAGGTATAACAGTAACGCGCATACGGACTCGTCCACGGACACGCCGGTGTCCAACAAGAGCACTAGTAACGGCCTGATGATCCATCACCACAACAATAATAATAACAATCATAACAACAATAACTCCAATAATGTAAAGAAGCACAAGAGGAACGCGTTTGTCGGCATCAGGCACAAGAAAGCGCGCGACGAGTCGCACAAAGAGAAGAGCGAGTCCGAGCGGGAGAAGATGAAGAAGAGTCAGCGTAATTTCTCGCTGAATCTCAAGCAGACGCTCTGTAATATCTTCCGATTTCGACGACTGGGTTCCCCGGACCACTTTGTGGAGAAACGGAACAGCATCGTGCAGGGAGAGATTGTCGAGGAGGAGGAGGGTGTTGACTCCGATCAGCACACGAATAACAACAACACCGCTCCGTCTGAGGTAGAGCCGTCCGCGCAGAAACTGCCGTTCTTCAAGCGCGCTTTGCCACCTCTGCCCAAGAGTAATAGTCAAGTAGGTGTAGAGCAGGCGGAGGAGGCTCTTACGGCAATGGCGCCCAAGTGCGAGTCACCGAGCTCGGTACAGCAGCAAGTTCCGCCGCCTGTCGTGCGACCAGAAGAAGACGCCACGGAGGACACGAGTATGGATTTTGCAGCTAGTATCGAGAAAGTGAAGGATGTATGTAAATTTTATTGTTCTTTTCATCAGTTTTTGATACGGGAAAGAGTTACAAAGAGTATCTGTGATACATTTTCATTTTCTGAAACAGTACGGATGGTATTGGGGACCTATATCCGGCGAAGCGGCGGAGAAGATACTATCCAACGAACCGGACGGCTCGTTCATTGTGCGGGACAGCAGTGACGATCATTACATTTTTTCCTTGTCATTCAGACTCAACAGTTGTGTGCGACACGTAAGGATAGAACACGATCAGGGTAAGTTCTATCGCACCGTGTGTACAAGATTCTCAACGAAACGCATCAAACGAAACTGTACGCTTTAAATGCATTTCTTTCGGCACGCAGGTAATTTTAGCTTCGGCAGCTGCACGAAGTTCAAGTCGCACACTATCGTTGACTTTATCGAGAACGCGGTCGAGCACTCGCGCAGCGGTCGCTATCTCTTCTTCCTGCACCGGCGGCCGGTTTTGGGCCCGATGCGGGTACAGCTGCTTCACCCGGTGTCGCGCTTCAAACAGGTACAGAGCCTGCAGCACACGTGCAGGTTCGTCATCCTGAAGATGGTGCGCAGGGACTTGATCCCGACCTTACCGTTACCCCGGCGGCTCATCGACTATCTCAGCACGCCCCATTATTACAGCGAGCAGCTGGCGGCCGAACAGGACGACCGGGCCGAATCGCCGGTCAGCTCGTCGACTGGCGAACTGGAGAAGATCTGCTTCACGCCGCAGGGTCTCTCGTGAGGTATAGCCGTATGACTTTTCCCTCTTCCTCCGCTCCGCTCTCTGTGCAAAGAGACTCTTGCGCCGAGCGTCGCCCGCGGCGTTAACGCAAATTTAATTCACGGTTTAATTAACTATTCGCAACATGTAAAAATTTACATCGCCGTTTGATTCAGACTCAGCCGACGATGCAAAAATTTAAAAGGTCGCTGAATTAAATTCCGGCTGGAGATAATACGGGATTTCATCTGTATTAAAATGTTATGTTACTGACGCGTAGAAATTAATTTCGTAACTTCAATTAATTTTGTTGTTTACATGTAAAAATTTATCTTTACTTGATTGAGTTTATGTCAGTGAATAAGAACTCAATTTCTTAGCTTAATTAAATACATGTTAACATTAACATACAAAAATTCAACATTTGCTACTGAATGAAGTTCTGGATAAAGGAATTTACCAACAGATTCATTAAATCGACTTAACTGACGACAAATATAAATCATCGTCCTGACAATTTGACCATTGGTTTTGGTCAGATTAATTGTTAAGACATTTCGATCATGGGTTTTTTGGTCCTTTTAAAATTGATGTAATTTTGAAGCTTTTATATACTAGCTTGATACACCCGTGCTTCGCTACGGTATTCGCAAAGGATTCTATAATTCACCTCCGAATTTAGATATGTCCCTTTAGGGGTTGATTAGGATAAAATCTTGAAATGGGTAACCTTTGTAAGCAAAAACCAAGTCGAAATCTCATCGGGCCTAAGAGATATTGAGGAATCCGTGAAAACACGTTTTTACCCCTTTTCACCCCGTTAAGGCTCGAATTTCTAAAAATCCCTTCTTAGTGAGTGCTTACGCCATGGAAGAAATATACTCCTCGAATTGATAGATATATCTATGTTTCAAAATTATATCAATTTTAGAAGGACCAAAACCTATGGTCGAATTGTCAGAACGATGATTTATATTTGTCGCCAGTTAAGTCGATTTAATCAATCTGTTGGTTAATCGTCACTGGCAATATATGATCTATCTTTGTTGTTTAAAAGAATTTAATTAGTAGCTTAATTGAATTATCCGTTAATGTGCGGAAATTCGACGATCGAATTAAATTTTCGTTTACATGCCGGAGTTTAATTCGTGACTTAATTGAATTTTTGTTATCGTCGACGATGTGACGTACGGTTAATGATTTTGCGCTTGTGATTTTGACTTCGACGATTTACGGCGTATCGATTCGTAAAGTGAGTATTGTGATTAAACTTGAAAGTAGATGAATATATAGAGAAATTTCCGTGTGCACCATATATCTAGAGCTGCAAGTTATGGTCGTCTCAAGTTACCTGATTTGATTGTCGAGGGAAAGGAATCGATTTCATTCTGTTTCAACAGAAGTCGCGATATTGCATATCGCAACAATCTATGTATGTATTACGCTGACACGAGACTTCTTGAGATAACATAGTTTTCTTTCCTCGAGAAAATAAACGCGATTCTGTGCAGCTTGCATCGCAGCTAAATGTAAAACTGTTTGCGGGCCTACAGTTATTAACTGGAGCGGTTAACTGAGAAGAGATTCGCGACGAAATCATTTCTTGATCCCTTATCAAATATTACTTGACGATCACATCTCTGTTGTTAATTTATGCAGTACAACTTTAGAGGCAAAGAGAAAAAGAGGAGACGCGCGACCCGAGCTGAGCGTAAACAAATTCTGTATAGTCTCTTTCCAGTTCAGTTCCTTCTTATCGACTATAACGAATGGCAAGATTACATGTGACATAAACCACGCACAAAATATCCATTTATACACGTATAAGTACATATATAAATATACACAAACGCGTATATATTGAGGAGAGGGAGGGAGAGAGAGAGAGAGACACACGCAGTGGTCGGATGGAAACTTTTTGCGTGCCATACTTGCCATTTTCCGTTGAGATTTATGCAAATTGACATTGGCATTTCGTTGAAGATTATATTTAGCGTTTTATTCGTTGCAGCCGTGCTTCCTGTTAAACTCGATAGTAGATAGAATATTCTTATAATTCGGAGCTTTGTCGATTTAGTTGATTTAGATTGCTAGAAGATCAAATCGACAAGCTGAAAGCATGGGAATGTAATGCGAATCACATTTTGTGGAAATTGTTGCATTTTTCTTTTACGAATCGATTACGCGAAACCATTGAAAGTTATCTCGATTGTAAAAAAAACTCTTACAAGTATATATAACCAAGGGAAATTCCGGCAATATATAAAGGGTAGCTAAAGTCGCAATGCGCAATTCGAATGTTGCATGATTTCGCGTTCGTTTAAGTAATCAATTTAAAACTAATTAACATTTAGTTGATAGAAAGGCAAGTAGTGTGAAACATTAGTGACTGGTGCTATGCGGAATTTATATTCTTCATTTTCGTGCGCGATTAGAATGATCGCGCGTTTATTTTTCTGCTCAAACAAGTTTGACAAAGCAGCGTCAGTGCAATAACGTTCATCGAAATTAATCGGATTCTAAATGATACCGCAGTTCCATCTATATCTTTATATTATATCCTTTTAATTTCGATTGTATATACGATTTTATTTTACGAACTTATTAATTACACTTTTGAAAATTATTATAAAAAAAAAGTGACACAAACTTTCTCTGCAAGCTTTCTCGAAGTAGATACTCATTCCGACCAATTTTCATATTTCAATGTTCCCTAGAGCTTAACAACGTGGCATTAGTATTGCTGTAGATCTTCCGAAGGAGAACTTCCTGTTGCAATTTGTAGGCGAAAATCGTGAAGATACATCCGTTGATACCATAGATCCCCCTTTCTCATTCTTTCAACGTTCGTCGATATCGAGGAGTGGTTCGTTGACTGATGTGTTACCTCGAGGTACAAGTGAAACGTGAATTACGTTTGTCTAGGAAGTGTGTCGCTTGAAACTCCGTTTTTTGCGCTTTGATAAATTCGCAGGACACAGTACGCGCACACAAATAACACACACACACACACACGCGCGCACGCGCGCGCGCGCAAACAGACATGTATACACGGACAAATTTTGTACCCAGTAATCCACCAAGGTAGATTTTGCAATACGATTACTATTAATATTAACGAGATCGTCCAGGGGGACTGTGCGAGTCCTGCGTGGGGTTTGTAAGGCATGTGCGTATAGTTAATAATGGTACCACAATACCTCACAGTCACAGAGGGAGGTATACGTATATAGAGCAGAACTAGTAAGGTTTTATAACGAGCGTATTTAAATCGGCATAAGTTGCACACATCATACATACACACACACACACACACAACACAGAAATACACATACACACACGACAGGCGTGTGATTTCAACTACAAGGAAATTCTAGTTGTAAGGGAGCGTGAGCGTCTTATTTAATAAGATTATTGTTTTAAGGGTCAGTTGCATTAACAGGCTTAATTAATTGACGCGACGGCAGATGATAATCCTAGGTAGTAGCGAATTAAGAGACAAATTTTTTATTAACTGCGTTAACTTATATTAATTTTAAGTTTAGTTAACTTAGTTGACCTGAATTGATTTAAATTAAATTCGATTTAATTAAGTTTCAATTAGTCTTGTTTCAATCTAAGTCAACTTAATTAATCGAGTTAATTTAATTTAAATCGGTTTAAATTAATTCACGTTAAAATTCCCGATTATAGCGCTAACGTTAGTGCAATCGCCTCTGAGATTTAGTTGTACCTTGATTGATTAACTCTCTTGTAAATCATAGTCCTAGCCAATAATATTGTAGATAAGAGAGAGAATGAAAGTTTATTTAATTATTGCAGATAATTAATTATTGTATAATATTAATCGACGCTTTCGTTAGCTACAGTTGATGCAACCGGCTCTAAGAATTAATTGTAAGAGAAACGTAGCGTTCTGCGCCAAGCGGAAGCGGCTTCCAAGGCTGCGGCGTGTCGTAGCTAAATATAATAAATCGGGCGTATTGCCAAGCGCAATACGGAAGCGTGACATTTTCTAAAATAATCGAACGTGATTCTAAGAGCGAAATAACGAAACTCGAGTTTAGCGGAAAAAAAAATACGGCACGTTCACAGGCCGAGGGAGGCTCGTTAAAAAAAAGGTAGCTCAAGTCTCCGTCTGTCCGATTGTCGATTGCGTGATTAGGCGACGGGAAGTGTATGTGTCAAACGTTTTTGTATATTTGTAACATTTTCGTCGTCGTCGCGCGCGCGAGCACGCGCGGCGCCGTAAGGAGCGATTGCTTTTGAATGTACACTTCTTCTAGCAAAATGTGATATTACTGATAAACGGACGGCCACACGATGTTAGATCCGTCTCGCGTCACAGCGAAACGCAGCGAACGTTTAAAACGAATCGAGCGTTCATATACAGACCTGTCCCGGCACTGTTGCGTACTTTGCTCTCGATTTTCCGACTGGCTCGAGCAATGAATCCTTTTAAAGCGCGTTATCGGCGTGATACCTTGCATGTGAAATGAAGCTTCCGATCCTGGTTGTGAAAAAAAAAATGTGGCGGATTTTCATTTCGGAGGCCCGATCGAGATTCCCGATGAGAGATTCGAACATCGATCGGCGTTACCATCGCTTGGCACAGAATGTAAAATGCAATCCTCTCTCGTATGCCAAAGTATGCAGCTGTACCCAGAGTACAACATCTGTGTATTTTCGTTCGGTGTTAAATACGTAATTTAATTCGCGTGCAAAGACCTTCACGCGATTATTTTGTGAATTTGTGTTTCTAGGACGGACACGTATTCGCGAAATTTGGCACAGAAATTATTTAGGGATTTATATGTAAGAAAAGGGATCAAAGAATTAAGATTAACCCTCGGTTGTCACATGGGGTCACCCCATTTTTTAAGTAACATATCTTAAAGAGTCTTGTGCAAAATTTTGAGCAAAAAACATTGAAAAATGAAAGTTATGATTTTTTCCAGAACTTACATTTTTTAAAGGATTTTTTTTAACATGATGCCACTCAAAGTTAATTTTTTATAATGAGAATACACATTCTACAATGTTTAAACTTGATTCTAGAATTTTTTGCGATCCATTTAAATTGTTAGTTTTCGAACAGCAGCTGCTTGAAAATTTAGTTGAGGTCAAATTAACAAACGTGTTCGAAAAAATAGATATGACAACCGAGGATTAACTCTAGAAAGCTAACTTTTCTTTCCCACAGTTGTTTATAATCGTATGCTTCTCCGAGGCATGTATTCTCCGAAAATGAGAAAAAGAACGCGCGAAAATTTACTTGTTGACTTAACTTTCTTAACTAAAATGTTGCCGTAACTTTAAAATTTTAGGAAATCGTGGCTTTCGGAAAGTTTTCAAAAGTTGAAATCTTCAGGGATCAGAAAAGACCAATAGAAACATACGTGTCTCAGAGATGTATACGCAGATAGTGTCCTAGGATTTTAAAGAAAAAAGAGAGAGACGTACAAGATGTTGTACTTCGGCTGTACGAAACAGGTATATTAAAACCTTATTATTTACATTATAATTGCCGAATGCTAGTCACAAATACTGCATTTTTCAGTTGGACTTCAGTATTGTTTATTAATAAAATACCAATTCACGTGCGAAATCTTGTATTTATTCTTACTGATGTTTTAATCCAAGCAAAAAAAAAAGGGGGAGAGAGCGAGAAGGAACAAATTGCAGAGGTCTGAATGTGAGGAACAAACAGGTTCACTTTTTAAAACATTGAATGAAAGTAATGAGAATCTTTGAATTTTCTTTGGATATTTCGAGCCCTGCCAAATTGGCCACATATTCTTTTCGGTGTTTATTCATGTTACTTAGACATGGCTGGGCATCGATAAAGCTTAATGAGTGAATAAATAAATATGCTCGATAAAGAGAGCTGACGGTTTCGAAGCATGAACTTGTCTGATCCTTGAAATCATACCTGGCAATTCGATCGCAAAGATCATCTACTGTATACGCGACGAGGTGTGTACTAATTTATTCCTTCTAGTCTAATTACAGGGTGTTTTGCGTAAAGCAACTCGGAGCCATATCTGCGGAGAGACACTAATGATGCAAAGGAAAAAAAATGCTCCAGAATTCTTTCGGGAAACGATTTCGATTCAAAAGGAATTTTGACCCAATTGTTCGTAGAATTAAACGAAAATTTTCTCACATCAATCGTTCGGTTACTCGGACTGGGACGCTTTAAGCGGGACACCCTGGCACGTCTTTGTCACCAAGTTCGATTGTTATCAGAGCGGGAATGTGCACGATAATCAATCTTGCTGCGGACTTCTTAATTTTGTAAATACGACGCGGCAATACACGTTCCGGGATTTCTATCAGGATCGAGTGCCGACGGATCTCTCGATCCGGCACTCCCGCGATTCCGTAAATGTAAAAAAAAATAAAAAATAAAAAAAGAAGTAAGATAACTGACTGCGTGAGAGCAATTCAGTTTATCGCCGTTTTGTTCCGACAATGTTTTGCGAGTCTTCTAAAATCCGATCTTTCAGTGAAAGAACCACTACTCTGCTCGTTTTTCATTACACACACACACCTTTGTAAAATATTACAAATATATTTATTTAATCTGTATTCCAGCTCCTCCGAATATTAAATTAAAACACATTAGTTGATAATGCGTTTTCGCCGATATACATTTACATGCGAATAATGTAACACCATATGCGAATGTGATAATTACTTTAACATCGCCGTAGGGTAAATTTGTGGGATCAGTTGATAATTTTAAATAACTAATATATATATATATACTTAACGTCAATCACGCACCCGAACACAAGAAACGAATCCTGTCCTTCGTTATCGGTTTGTCACAGTGACATGGTATATGTAAGCGTATGAGATAATCGCGTATGTATTTGATTACCCATGTTTGTACTGCAATGTTGAAAATAAACATTTTTTGAGATTAAAACAACGCCCCGAATTCTCGCATCGTCAAGGATCAAAGTTTCGTCCCTTTGTAAGGATAAAATTTACAAAATAAAAATAATATATTTTCGTGCGAATAACCGGTGGAACAAGAATTATTCGCGCACAAGGGATTTGTGTTTACTGCTCAGATAAAAAATTTATTGTTTTCCTACAGGAATGCCGTTGACTGATGAGAGTAACAGTAACCGTCGTTCCCTTTTCCCTTTTAGCAGACGGATTCTATTTTAAGGTGGAATACCCAAGGTCTTTCTCACTAGCTTTTGCGCTATCCTCTCGAATTCCTTGCGATCTTCCCTCCACATTTTGGCGGCATCCACATTCGCGCCGCTCTCGTCGTTCGGCTCGGCCAGCATACTTACTACGCTCAACAGTATCTTCTCCACGCTCTGCACCGGGCTCCACCTTTCCGCGCTGCTTTCGTAACCCATCGGATCGTCACCAGGCGCGTGCAGTATGCTTATGCAGACTCTTCCATCCGCGTAGACTAGACGAAAGGAGAAAAGATGCGATTTCAATTGACAAAGTTAACCGACAGAAATCTCAATGTTGCTACACAACCGATAATTTTTGATAACCGAAATACATCTTATCTCATATGCTTGATAATAGCAATATCTTACTGTTGGGATGAAACATCTCGCAGGTGAACTGCATCTTCGGAGGGCTCAATGGATAATCCGGAGGGAAAATTAACTTTGCTGGAAATATGCCACCTTCAAAGCACGTCCCCTCTGGCCCGCTAAAAATTCCACCGACTTATATTGAAAAATTTGCGAGAGAGCCTACACAAGTGTTGTTTATTCAGCATTAAATATGAATGTTCAACTAATCCATGCGCGAAGAACAGTGAGATAAAAAAAACTATGTACGACGCGGGCAGAGAAGTCGACAGTGGAAGTTTCCCGGAAAGGAAAGAACGAGGGAAGACCTACGTGATGAGGGCCTCCCATTCGAAGAAGTTCTCCTCGTTAATCGGGCCGGCGATGATGCCTTCCGGCGGGTTCAAGGTTAGCTCTGCAAGATCGTCATAGTGCAGGCATTACTGACTCTGCGAGCAAAAATCTTTCTCGCCGCGATCGACGGCGCGGAAGATCGGAAAGTCACGATTCTCACGTTTGTACTCCGCCATCAGTCGTCTGAGTGCCGAGCCAGCCATCGTTTTGATCATGCGGGGGTGATCCGTCGGTCGGTTGCGAGACGTCCAGGTCGACGGGCGGCTTCCCCTGCCGCGAGGTCCCCCCCCTCAAGGCTGACCCCGGAGAGCGGCCGTGACGGCCAGGATCGTCGGAATCAATTCGATGACCCCGAACGACCTTTTCTCCACAATTCCACTCCACTCCACCGTGTAGATCCGAGAATCAGCTGTTTTCTCCTAACCTAAAACCCACGGCTGCGCCGCGCATGCGCCGCTCTCCCCACCGCGCGCCTGCCACGTGACGCCGCGAAGCCGCGTTCCGAAACTCCGTCCCTCCCGGGCGCGCGGAGTCGTCGCGCGTTCCGAAACGCCGCTCTAGGGATTTTCGCGAGGGACGAGATTTGCCAGCCGCGGCGCAGTCTCGCGCTCCGATTCGTCCGTTCGTTCCGCGCCGACCGAACCTGGACCAAACTTCACCAAACGCCTACGCTGCACGGCCAATGGCGAGGCGAGGTTAAACGGCATCGATTTCCAGAGAGAAAACAGAGCACTCCACGGGGAACGTCCGAAAGGCTAAAATCAAAATGACGGCGAGTTTGCGGACTTGTTTAAGGGCATCCTGAATTTTTACAGTGACAACATTGTTCCAGGAAGAACACTCGTACGTATCGTATGTTCCGCGAAACGTCCGTACGATAATTAAGCGACGTTATTTCCGGCGTCGTCGCGAACGATTCTCTCCGCGGTCTCGGTCTCGCGTAATTACGGAGAACGTGTGAAAGGACGAGGCGTAAACGAGAGGAAAGGCAATTCCAACGGCATCAACACCACGGCGAGAACGTTCATTTCGCGTTCGCCAAAGTTCGTCAAAGCCGCGCGCTCGATCGTAACCGAGAGATATCCGTCGCGATGACGTCGATGCCTCGTCGAGAATCGCGTCGGTGATGGTTACGACGACACCGGAGTAGCCAGTCGTGATATCATCGATAAGTGACGTTCTGACGTTTTCCGCTTTGAAGGTTATTAATTGACGAATCGTTTCAGCGGTTTTGACAGGCCTGTGTCGTGCACCCGACTTCTCAACAACATCTTAAGGAGCTGAGAGCATGGCTTCGGCGATACTGCAGGTAAGCTGTTCGACAACAATGCGTTTGTATTTGGAAGCGAGACGGGCAACAGAATTATACTAAGCGATCGATGATTTTGCAGAAGGCCATAGATCTTGTGACAAAGGCCACGGAGGAGGATCGTAATAAGAACTACGAGGAGGCCCTCAGATTGTACGAGCATGGCGTCGAATACTTTTTGCACGCAATCAAATGTACGTCCAGTAAAGAGCTTTTAATATTTAGTATTAAGTGAACATTGAACGTGCAAAAATCGGACACAAAGCATCTAATCATTTGAGCCTTTCAAGATTAAGTTAAACATTGTTGTAGTATTGTGAGCTTAACGAAAATAATTTATTGCTTGCTTAACAAAACAAATTTATATACGAATTGTATATGAATGCAATTATATTATAGAATCAAGAGCTATACTTAGATCCAAGCTTAGATCTTTGACAGTTTTATATTAGTTTCTGTGTATATACATATATTTATATGTATATACACACATACACTTTTCCAACTTATTTAATTGTATTTTAAATTAGCCTAATTAGCTTGACGATGGATTTCAGACGAGACGCAGGGAGACAAGGTGAAGGAGAGCATACGAGCGAAATGTATGCAGTATTTAGAGAGAGCAGAAAAATTAAAGGAGTACTTGAAGAAGAACAAGAAAAAGCCGGTCAAGGCTGGGGCAGATAATGCCAAGAGCGAGGATAAGAAGAGCGACAGTGGTGACAGTGACACTGACAGCGACCCCGAAAAGAAGAAGCTGCAGAGTAAATTGGAAGGCATTATAATGAGCGAAAACACAAATGTTCACTGGAGCGATGTGATTGGTCTCGATGGAGCCATAGAGGCTTTGAAGGAAGCTGTTATTCTACCTATGCACTTTCCTCATCTCTTTACCGGGAGGCGCATACCTTGGAAAGGTATTCTGTTATTCGGAGTAAGTAATTTGTAGTACGACAAATTTGACTGTACATTTTTGGTCAATGAAATATATATATTGTCATATTTTTAATTTGCCGTTTAGCCACCAGGAACCGGTAAATCATATTTAGCAAAAGCAGTAGCGACGGAAGCTAATCAAGCTACCTTCTTCGCCGCGTCGTCGTCGGATCTAGTAAGCAAGTGGTTAGGAGAGTCGGAGAAGCTTGTGAAAAATCTGTTCGAATTAGCGCGACAAAAGGAACGTAGCATAATATTTATCGATGAAATAGACTCGCTCTGTTCGTCGCGTTCCGACAACGAGTCAGAGTCCGCGAGGAGGATAAAAACAGAATTTCTAGTTCAAATGCAAGGTATGTTTTTGATATTGAATATCCATCTCGCGCTCCTGGCTTTTGCCAGAACGATCGCGAATCCAGTTGGACTAATGCTTTTACATATGTACAACAGGTGTAGGGACCCATAATGAGAATATACTCGTGCTGGGGGCCACCAACATACCTTGGGTCTTGGATTCTGCGATCAGACGAAGATTCGAAAAGAGAATTTACATTCCGTTGCCCGGAAAACAGGCGCGCGCCGCTATGTTCAAGCTCCACATGGGTAATACGGCACATTGTTTAACGGAGGAAGACTTCAAGACATTGGCGGCTTCCACCGACGGTTATTCGGGAGCCGATATAAGCATTATTGTACGGGATGCCCTGATGCAGCCGATCCGACAAGTGCAAATGGCTACACACTTTAAGCGCGTTAAAGGACCGTTGCCGAGGGATCCTTCCGTTATCGTCGACGATTTACTTACTCCGTGCTCCCCCGGCGATCCGGCTGCTATAGAAATGAATTGGATGGAAGTCGATGGTGAAAAATTGTTCGAGCCACCAGTTACCATGGTAAGGTTCACAGATGTTCCTCCTGTTTCTCTTGTATACAAGAAGGATATACTTTAATATCTGACATATATTATTACACATTACAGAAAGACATGATGAAATCGCTAGCAACGACCCGTCCCACAGTGAATGAAGAAGATTTGGCAAAGTTAGAGAAATTTAAGGAAGATTTCGGTCAAGAGGGTTGAGAGACTCTTGAAATATCTCGCAATTAAGTTAATGGATTTATAATTCAACAAATATTTTTAGTTATACATGCTTGCCTTATTCCTCTTATGATAACACGCTTGATAATATCTGTATAAATACGTTATATTCTCTCTCGGAAACGATCTTTTGTCCTTCGTCTCCTTATTTAAATCTCTACTTTTTTTTTTTTTTTTTTTTTCTTAAGCGCAACAGCGAATGCAATCCGGTACCGTAAGCTTATCGCTTATTTACTTAGCGAAAATGATACATAACTTATGAAATAAACCATATTTTGAGATAAAAAAATTCTTCGACTTTTATCAGGCAGTCAGACAAGAGGTAGATAATTTTTTATCATAAAGTGCAAAGTAGGAAAAGTGTTGGTGATACATTTACGAGGTATATGGCAAACTCTGTGTTTAATGCGTCGCTATATATAATCGCTAAGTGATAAGTACCTAACAAATTAATTGTAAATCATAGATTTTATATAGTTACTTCCTAATCACCTTTGATTATAGTTTTAAACACTCTTGCGTATTCCGTTATCCGATTGTCTCGATTCGAGAGTGGGCTTTTAACGCGGGATCGTTCACGGAGTCGAAAAAACGAGTCGCGCTCTCAGCCAATTTAAATTTAAAACAGAATACGCTAACCGAAATCGACGGAGTAACAAGGGTTATGTAACATACTACATACATAATACATAACATATTATAGATATTCAGAGTACTGTTTTCATGTAAATTGTTTTTATTGTTAACTAAATAAATAACAAGCTGTATACTGATATAACACCAGTATTGAAAAATAGTGGAGATATTGCGACATCATTTACGGAGGGCAATGTCTCAGAAATTCCGAATCCATGTAGACGACCGTTATGGTGATGTCGTCGCGGAATATCCGCACCACTTCGCTCGGCAGGGTCAACAATTGCGACAATTTGGCATGGTCTATCCCGTATTCCGTGCCACCTAGAGCGTTCCTCAGCAAGTGCGTCGCCGCGTTGCCGTCGAGGGGCTTCTTCTTCAGGCCCTCCTTGCGTTGCAGCAACATCTCATTTATGTCCGACAATTTCATATTTTTACGCGGTAATCTCAGTGGGTTGAGCGTGACCTTGCCGCTCATGTGCTCGCCTACCAGGCGCACTGCTTGCAACGGCGAAATCAGGTCCCACAGTCCGTCGCTGGCTAATATGAGAAATTTGTCCCTCGGCGTGAGCCTGTGGTATCTGACCTCCGGATTGGCTGTAAGATAGGGCGGCGTGTGATAATTCGCTGGGATCGCCGTCTCGCCGAGGAACGGCACCACGACCCTCTTCATAATATTTTTACTCCACTTGTAGCGGAAATCGCCCAGCGAGCGAAGCGGCGCCAATTGCCCGAGCAGTCTTTCCATTTTAATCACAGTCGATCTCTCGTTCGTCGGATGCTCCGACAAGATCCTCTCCACTTCCTCACGGTTATCCGCGTTGTGCTCTACCGTCATCATCTTCGCCGACCATCCATCGCTTTCTAAACGAAACAGGGCTCATCAGTACGTTTATCTTTTTAACATCGGATAAAATAATAAATGACGAAACAACGACGAACCTGAGAGCACTCCCAAGACGACCCTACTGTCGCCAACGCCGGCGACATGGAGATGGGGGCCGTCTATGTGCGCCACAGCGGCTACCGTACCCGACATTGCGACAGCGAGAGTCCTCGCAGCATCTTTCTTATTCAATTGCAACAGAGCCTCGGTCGATAAATCGTTGTCTAGTCTGAGAAATGCGCTTTCCAAGGCCTTTTCCATTTGAAATTCCTTCCTGGTATCTGAATGCACCAAGTCTCTCACGAAACTTAAGAAGCTCGTTTGATAAAGATCTCTGATCTCGGCTACAAATTCTACCTTATCGTTGAAGGTTTCGAGCAAGTTCAAACTTCTGTCAGTGCCAACAGAATTCAAGTATTGCTCCAGCAATTTTGGCGGTAACAGGCACGCAGATATATAATGAAACAGTCTTTTCGACACCACTTGTGCGCAGGCACCACCACCGTGGCCATCGAAAACTCCCATTAACATACCTACAAATAGATAAAAGAAATTAGAAACATAATCGAAGACTGTTCATAGTCAAATCTTATATTTAAGATAGTCTCAGTTTCATCTTCAGATGCTGTACGACTCGTTTCATTAGCTACAGAGTATCTGACGGACTTGAGACAATCTTATACACAAGATCTGACTATGAATGCTGGCCTACGATGCGTTTGAGGCATAAAAGCAAGGAATCCTGTGAATGTCAATGCCCGATATCAAAATCACATCCGTATAATTAGTATTATCTTTCACTTTAATGGCTGAGCGGCCCGTTAAAGCCGATGATTTCAAAGATTAGCCATTAGTTTCGCTTCTGTACCTTTAGTTAACAAACATTGAGCCTCGGATCTCGTATCTTCTATAGGATTATTAGACGCCAATTGATTAGAGTCGTAATATTTCACGGAACCCGATCCAGAAAACTCTTTGGTGTACTCGTTGGCTTGCAAAACACTTGTTACCTGTAACCAGACAACAACGACGGTATACACGATGTATAGGTGGAGTAAGAGATCAAATAAACGTTGATTAAGTTGATTTAAATGTACCTCCTGCGGTGTGAGCCGCGGTAGTGCCATGTACAATCGTTGGAAGCACTTGTTGCCACAGGACTCGCTCGTCCTGGCGTGCACGTGTCGGAAACCTTTGACGAAGTCATAGCTGATCTTTTGCAAGACCATCCTACCCCTGGAACAGGTCGCCGCGCTTCCGGTCGCCGCGTTCCTTCGTGCTAATATTCCTCCTCTCCTCCACTTTTCCAGCACATTTTCGACCTCTTATAGGTTAGACGCGCAAAGTAAACGCGGGTAGCAGCGCGTTTCTCGACTTTGATATCGCGCGAGGACTCTGCACCCCTTAATATATTGCGATTTACGTAATAGAGACGATTCTCTCTCTCTTCCGGGGTTAATCGACGTGCCTGAAGACCACTAAAGACTCGTAAGATAAAATATTAGCTTGGATCTACGCGACATTATAAGCTGCCGCTAACGATATATCTTCTTCTTGTGTTTGTTGGCTCGCTTTACGATATGTGATGCAGCGTGCGCAAAATCAGCAGTAAAGTAGTAAACACGTGCGAGACCTTCGGGCGTTTATCATACGAGAATGGACATACAAAACATCACATGACCCATGCGCGCCGCGAACTTCGACCCCCGCGGCGGTCGTTGCCTATAGGTGTTGCGGTTTGCTAATAGTTGCGAGAAAGGAAGAAAAAGTATATTTTTAAAAAAGCTAGATAATAGCTAAATTTTGGCTGCATTCCGATATTCACCGTCAGCCACTTTTAGTATTGAAAATCTATAGTATACGTGACGTAAAATATAGATTTGCAGTGCTGACAGTGAATATCGGAATTTAAGATTCGGAAGCCTTTATTAATTAAAAAAGAATATGCAGTAGGACGTTTTTATTCTTAATTCTTCTATTTTTAACTGTAACATGTATTCAATCAGGTGATGATATTTAAACCCTCTTGCTTGTTGATCTGCCATTTGCATTCGGATAGCCAATCAAATTGCCGCTTTTTCGTAAAAGCCGCAATTTGATTGGCTGAGTATCCTTTGGGCCGATAAATAATCAAAATACTCATCCACAAAGCACATAATTAACATTCTTTTTTCAAAATAAAAAAATTAGGCCTTTCCCCAAAGCCTATTTTTGAGAATTTCTCAAACAACACGAACAAATCTTTTTCCATATCGCGACGGCGCGTTGGAAATCGTGCCTGAGAGACTCCGACCGTCAAATTCCCCTAGCGTTTAACGTCGCACAATTGGCGCGACTGCACTCGATCGTCGGGCGTTTAAATTTCAAAACTCAACGTAACGCCAAACGGCTTGGCTCTCCCTCCGCGTGCATCGTTGCGGTGACGAGCGTTCGCTGGTTCGCGTCGATTCTAACACGGTTCTCCTCGTCTCCTCCGCTTTCGCGATCTAAAAAGGATCGGGAGTTTGCCCCCCACGAGTTCCGCGCACGAGTTGAAGCAGCGACTACACGGGACAGACGACAAAACGCCAGAATAAAAAGGTCCTCCGTGGCAGCGGCGAGACGACTCGGGCGATGTCAGAACGATGTGAGAACAACGTGAGTGACGTGTGTTCCTTTGATTTCTGAAATTTGCTCGCGGAAAACAGGTAAAAACTCGTATCGATCGTAGATCTACTAACGATGGTTTTCAACAAGAAGGATCTGGGCAAGGCGTTCTCGCCGAGCAAAGTCAGGAAGGCGGCGATCAAGAGGCGGTTGTCGCCCGGCGGTACGGTCAAGCCGAGCACGAGCGGCTCCGCGATGAAGAGCGAGGAGACCTCCGAGATATCGATCAAGGTGATCGTGCGGGTACGCCCGCCCAACGAGCGGGAGCTGCAGGACAACAGCAGGACGATCATCGAGGTGGTGGACGACAAGATGCTGATCTTCGACCCGAAGGAACAGGCGACGCCCTTCTTCTTCCACAATGTGGCGCAGAAGGGTAGGGACATGCTGAAGAAGCAGAACAAGCAGCTGCAGTTTATCTTTGACAGGGTCTTCGACTCGACGTCCGCCAACACCGACGTGTTCGAGGGTAGCACCAAGAGCGTGATCAGCAGCCTTTTGGACGGCTACAATTGCTCGGTGTTCGCCTACGGTGCCACCGGCGCCGGTAAGACTCACACCATGCTGGGAAACAGAGAGGACCCCGGTATCACGTACCGAACCGTGGCGGAGCTGTTCGCCGAGATCGAGAATCAGAGCAAGCATCGCGAATTCAACTTGGGCGTGTCCTATCTGGAGATATACAACGAGAATGTGCAGGACTTGTTGCACAAGTCCGGCCAGTTGCATCTGAGAGAGGACGGTAGGTGCGGAGTCGTGGTCGCCGGTTTAGAACCGATCGCTATTCAGAATGCGGACGAATTGCTGTCGCTGTTGGCGGAGGGTAACAAGAATCGCACTCAGCATCCGACGGACGCGAACAAGGAGAGCAGCAGGAGCCACGCGGTTTTTCAGGTGTACATCAAGATAATCAACAAGCTGGACAGCCAGGTGCAGCGTGTCAAGCTGTCTATGATCGACTTGGCGGGATCGGAAAGGGCCTCGGCCACTGGATGCAAAGGTGTTAGGTTTAAGGAAGGCGCTAACATCAACAAATCCTTATTGGCCCTTGGAAACTGCATAAATAATCTAGCAGACGGTATAAAACATATTCCATACAGGGACTCCAAACTCACGAGGCTACTGAAAGATTCGCTCGGTGGTAACTGTCATACCGTCATGATAGCTAATATCGCTCCTTCCAGTCTCACCTACGAGGATACGTACAACACTTTGAGATACGCGAATCGGGCGAAGAAGATCAAATCGTACGCCAAGAAGAACGTGTCCTGCGAGATGCACGTTGCTGGCTATATCAAGATAGTGGAGGAACAGAAGAAGGAGATAGATATTTTGAAGACGAAATTGGCAGCTTTTGAGAACGGAATGGTGCAGCCGGTCGAGAGCAAGCCGAACGTCGTCATGCTGGAGACGTACAACAAGATGATAAAATTGCACGAGAAGAAGAAGGATTTGATAGAAAGGATGCTGGCTCTGGAGAGCTCCGATAAGATTTTGGCGTGTAGAATACTCTACAAGAGGGACGCGGACGAGAGGCTGCGCAATCTAACGGCGGCCAGCGACGCCCTGTCGCTCGAGGAACAAAACGCCAGCGGAAAGTCGCGCATCAACAAGTCTCTGCATTACTTCCAACGGCAGAGAGAGTCACTTAAAGCGCAGATGCAGGATACGTGGCAGGAATTGTGCTCGGTCGAGACGGAGATACAGGAAGCGAAGGCTAAACCGCTCGACGAGAATCTGCAGAGTAAACTGTCATTGGAAATCTCCAAGATCGAGAGATGCTGGATCCCCGTTATGCAACAGCACATGAAGAAGCTCAGCAGTCTCATGCAGTGCGAGAGGCAGTCGATTAATACCATAACGAAAAATATGAGCAACACGTTGCAGAATTACTACAACATGGTGAAGGGCTATGGCACGATGACCGATAAGATGCAGCTGGAGTTCAAGGAGCTGATAAAGTTGCTCGAGGGTTTTCGAAATATCAAATGGTCCGATTCGGATGAGACGGACAAAGCGGACGATTTCAACATGATCACATGTCTGAGCACCGCCGGGATGGATCCGTTGAATAATGCGATGCCGGCGGTCGCCACAGCGATACCGGAGATGGACGACGAAGAGCACAATGTTTGCAACATGAACATCTTGAACTCGACCTTCAGCGCGAATGAAAATATCGACACCAATATCTCCGACATAGCCGACGAAAGCAGTAGTTGCGAGAGTAAATCCGCGCCGAGGGACGAATCTGCGCCGGAGACTCAACGGGAAAGAATTGCTACGAAGAACGTGATCAGGAAACGTGTATTGTCTGACAAGAACAGCGAGCACAGCAGCACACCTTCCAAGCAGACGAAGAGACTGGGAACGAATAACAAGACTGTCGTACAGAATACTGGTCGAGTGGATAAGGAGAACAAACAGAGGCCTATACAAATGAGTGCAAAAAGTATCGCCATTCTGAATAGATTGAAGAGCGATACGTCGTCTAATTTTTCGTCTCTTTCCCGGCACAACAATAGCGATGAGAAAACGGACGTGGCGCTTAAGGCGATACGTAATAAAGAGAGGCGCGGACTAATGACGACCCATCCGTATCAAAAGTCAACGATTGGAAAAAAGTAAGTAACAGAATATTTAGCATGGTCTAAATTCTTCTCGACATCTTTATGAGAATAGGCCTGTTTATTTTAGCTGAACTTCTTGCACTGTTGATCCTTTCTCTTTTTCTTTCCAACGTGAAAAGAGGAAAAATAAATCGTGCAAGAAGTTCAGCTAAAACGAACAGGTCTAATATTAAGGATTTATCTGTATATTACATCCGTATATCATTTTTCTATTATAGACCCAATACAGCTCCACCGTCTACTAGAGTTCCATGGTAATAGTAGACAAAAATTTGGTACCTGGACGCAAGATTGAAGAGATGGTGGCCTTACGAACATTGCGTTAAGTAATAAGACTTTTGACAAGATTTTTTTAATAGATACAAGATTTTAAATATAATAAATATTGACTATACGTGCTTTTAAAGAGGTAAAGTCAAGGATTCTAATAAAATGACTTCTTTTTATGTTATCTATGTATGTTTTTTTAGCTTAATGCAAGAAAAGATATATGTATATACATACATGTAATTGTGCAAGCAATATTTCTCTCTTTCCCCGTGTATGTTTAGAAAATGAAAATGACAAATTTCAAAATTGTAAGCTATATCGTGTATTTTTGTATGATGTAATATCTTTTTAAAACATTTATTCAAGACTGACGAAACGGTACGGATAAAGTGCGCTCAACAGTCGTGCGTAATCTTCAGTTTATTATTGTCTTCGGAAATTACATTACTTAATAATTTAATTTATGCAAAACCCCGTGTAATCTCCGTTGCCAAAGAAAAAGAAAGAGAGAGAGAGAGAGAGTGCATTTATATTCTTAAAATACTCCAAAATGTACCAAACTTATGTTTAAAGATTTACGTCACATAAGTAAAAATTAATACAAAAGTTGAATTATTAGATTATATATGTACTGACAACAAGTGTTCTGCTGTGGGGAATGTCGACTAATTGTATGTATCCTTAAGGAGAGAATAAATTATTTACGGAAATTTTCCTAGAGATCGCTCGTAGATTGCAAAACAGCATTGTTCTAAATGCACGTAAAAAGTCGAGGCGATTATTTTCTCTCCAAGTCCTCATTGAGATTTTCCTGGAAAGCACCACGTTCATTATACTCTTGTTGTTTGTCACTCAGCTATCGTTCAACTTCGGAATACTCACGTATTCCTGCAAGGCGTACGACACGTGTTTCGGGATCTCCGGCACTCTCGAGTCCGATTGTCGGCCGCTAACTATCGTCGGCAGCATTGATCTCGAACGTTCAAAAAGCGTGGCGAATGATTGCAGTAGAAATGCCAAAAACGCCAGTGACGCCAGCACGGTGATGGGATCAAAAGCGCTGAAATGTAGTACGTCGTTCATCACCATCGACGAATATTGCAACGGTAGGAAAGACAAGAGGATCATCTGGTGCGATTATTTAAAAGAAAAACACTTACTGGTGATAATAAGCTGGTAACGTGGAGCCGAATCCACCGTAGTAACTGCGTTGAATCTGTTGCTTGTGTACATTCGGAAAATTCGGGTAAAATGGAAACGATATGCTCCTCGGCTCCTTCTTGTACGTATCCGGTAAATAACACATGGGCGGATTACTGCAAGACGGCGCTTCGCTTACGGTCCTTTCCAGTTTCGTTGTCTGCATCTCGCATCGAACAATGTCGAACACACCGAGGAGCAACGTAATCTTCAACATTTTTATATTTGAACGGCTATTCAAACTTTTTATATCGGGGGAGGGGCGCGTTGCGGTACACAGAACGAGATCCTCAGCGCATTTTACAAGAGCTATCGTTGAAATGCGCTGATCCAAAAGTTACTGACTGTTAATGTTACGCGATATTTCGTCGTCGAAACTTTTACCTTACATCGTGAAGTTAAGGCGACTCGACACGCTCGACGAATATATACCAAAAAGGCGAGACGATAACGAGCGTTTCCAGTTGACTCTTCGTACGCTCCAATTGTCACCATTTTATTCAAATTGTATAAATTCGAATACTGTTACGAACAGCATAATGTCGCTATATTTGGCATGTTAGTCGTGACGGGTAACGAGCGTAAAATTGTACACGGCAAATTGAGCTTTCGAGTAGGTCACCGCTTACGGAAATCCACGGGGAAAATAGATAACGCTGATTAAAAACGATTAAATCGAGCTCGTGAAGCAGTTCAATTTTATACTCAAGATTCAACTTTATTATCGCATTTAAGATTTAACAAATTTTTAACAGCTTCCTTGTACTTGTTGACCGAATATTGATCCTCGCCGTTGTTTATAAGATCTGAAACGGCAATTTTGTATTCCGTTGCGTGCGGAATGGTCTCGTAGTCATAATCGGTCGGCGGTTCCGGCCACTTGTACAGCGTCACTAGGCTCGTACGGCTCTGGCTGGTGTCCCAGTCAAAGTACTCCATGTCCGCCAGCGACTTCTCGGCCTCCCACGGTTCTACCCTCTGCAAGTAAGATCTCGCGTCACTCGCCAAGCTCGTGAATTACGTGCGATTACTTGAATTATCTGTTTGTTCACGTGGTCAAGCTATCACTTACCCAAGATTCGTGATACACCGCCGTGAGGAGGTACCGTGCGTATTCCAAGTTTTGCTTTCTGGTCGGACATCTATCAGCCGTGATTGTTATCACATCGGTTTCCGAATTGTACTTGTTTCCCAGTAATCGCAGCAGCTTGTCCTTGGCATGGGTATCCAAGTGAAGAGAGGACAGCCTCACTCGCAGACTCACGATCCGAGCGAGCGGATCCCTTATGGTGGGCGAGGAGTAGCAGTAGTCGGACGTGATGAGCTCAACGGGGAAGTGTCTCGCGCATTTCTCCTCGGTCTCCAGACCGGCGGGCCACTCGGTGCAGAATCGCTTCAGCGCCTCGCAATGCCGTCGTATCGCCGGCGGGGTGAGATGCAGGAAGTTGGGTATCTTCAAGAGCTCGGCGTTGGCGTACTTGTCAGGCGGCGTGCCCTTCTCCACGTACCCCTGGCGCAACGGGAGCGGCACTGTGGCCGGGTGGAAGGTTCGCGCGCCCGGCCAGACCGATGGCCAGTCCTGGTCGACGGGCATCTCCTTCGTCCTGGGCGGTGGGACATTGATCCGTTGCGACTTACGCTTCTGCTGCGCTACCTTCTTGTACCCCGGATAGAGTTCCAGTACTCGAAATTCTGAAAACGAAGACACGTATGTATGTCATCTCGTCGCGCAATAGATTGGAACACTGGTATAACCGATACCTACGTTCCGACCCGCTCGTCTCCGAGGAGGAGTACGCCGCGAGTAGCCTCGACGCTTTCGGCAAACTTTGCGCGAGGCTCGCCTCGAGTCCACGTTTCAACGACAACATATCTTCGTGCACTTCGTATTACTTTACAGCGAAAACATAATCGCCAATTCTGTGTTGAAGAATTCAACTTCGTCCAACCTAACCTAACTCTGATCCAACATAACCTAAAACGTCAAAGGTCTGTTTGTGTTGTCCGCACCTTTTGCACTTGGACATTTAAAGAAGACACGTTTATTTTCCTATTGGTTAAACGATGGAACCGTCAAACGTGATTGGCCAAATACAAGAATGAGAACCAATCGCGTGCGTTAATTGTAGCGTGTCGTTAAGTTTGGACGACCCGCCGCTAAATTTTACGACGCGCTGTCATCGTTCCGCATTCCTGGAATGTCTCTCGTATTCGTGGGAACGTCGATGATCGAGCAGATCGAGCAATACTACTTTTGAGGTTGTTTGAGGTTGGAGAAGCGGACACTTCTTTGACACATCGAGGCCTCATGACATAATGACGGGGAACGTCGATTTGCTCGCGGTTTAGTCATGCCCGTCGCGGGGATCTCGCTGTGAAAGGGGCAACCCGCAATCATGTGCGACAATATAAGGGGCAACCCGTTCGCCGGGCTGTTCTCCACGGATAACGATGCCGTCTCGTTCTCCTCGGAGCATCGCGCCGTCGACGACGGCGCCGACGACGCGAGTTGCGCGGAACGGCGGTCGTCGGGCGCGAGCAAGGACGAGCCCGGGATTCCGGTCGAGAACGCGACCGAGACCGCGGATCTCGACGACAAGGTCGACCGACTCATGGCACACGTGTTCGGCTTGACGTTGCGCCGCGCGCAAGACTCTCTGGTGTTCGTCGACGCCGACTCGATCGAGCACGCCGTATTCGAGCGCCTGATGCTGCCGGATCCCAAACCCAAGGCGCGAGACGTCGACAGCCACGTCGTGCAGACGCAGGTCATAACCTACCTCTACGAGTGCTACTGCCGTTTGAAGCGCTATCAGACGAACGGCGTCGAGGACACCGTGAGAAACGCCTGTCAGATCGTACTGCGAAACGCCAACACGGCCTTGCAGGAGCCGGATTTGTTTCAGTATCAGGAGGTAGTAGACCTTAACACTTATGATTGAGGGCCGATTGTTTCAACCTGTTGGTAAACTAACTAATAGTTAAATCATATATATGTCTTTGTTTATCATTTACATTAGACGAAGATAGACATATGATTTAACTATTAGTTAGCTTACTAACAGGTTGGAACAACCGGCCCTGAGTGATTTCATGATGGAATAGTTTCTAAGAGTGCCAAATTTTTTTTTATATTGGGTCTGTTTCCTATTGCTGAACTGGCTGCGCTTCAGAGTCTATCTTTTGTACTCCACATTGGAAGGGAAAAGATAAACTCTGAACTAGTGCGATCGGTTCAGCAATAGAAAACAGATCCATAGTAAGCGAGATGTACATAATAGCTGATGTTAACTGTTGTACGTTATTTTCAGATTCATAGCCAATTTGTTGCTTTATTTATGAATGACGTTACGTCAGAGTCAGAATTATCGTCGTTCGTCAGCGGCATAGTGGAAGAATTAATAGCGGTGAATCGAGAAAGCGACGTAGAGGATGTAGTTACAAAGTCGTTCTCTCCAGTCCTCGATATTATCCATAAGGAAGCAGTTCAGAGCAATCTCTTTACCTTCTGCAAACAGTGGTTCGCTCTCCTGAATACATTTTCCACCATTGATCCACTGGCAAAGCTAATAATTCGCCATAGCACACCAAAGAATAATCAGGGCTGCGGGTATTCGGAAACATTACTGGGCGCGCTCTTCAGCATAAGCTGTTTACCGAAAACGTCCAAAGATCCGTACGATCTTTTCGACAAACCTCTACGGCAAGTACGGCGATTTTTCTTATTAATCAAGTAGTTTCTTAAGCTAGTGCGATTCGCTTTATACATTGTCCAAATATCACAGCCGAATACGATTATGGAGGAGACCATACCGGTGGCCATGGGCAGTCTGAGCGAGGCCCTGCACAAGGTCTTTCACTCCCTGTTGAAATGTTCGACTGAGCTTCGCCATTTGACTTTGCAATGGCTGGGTAACTGCCTCCATGCGAATGCAAATAGAGGAAAACTTTGGAACTCTCACATGGAGATGGGATTGCTGGGAGTGCTGTGCGTGTCGGATGGTTTCATGTTGAACATAGGCAATGTACTGTTACGCCTCTGTCAACCATTTTGCGCTAAACTGAATGACGCCAAAGTACCGAAGATCGATCCCACATACTGTAGTGCGGAGGTTGGTTTTTCAAGAATTTAAGAAACACGGAACGGTACTTGTATGCAATTAGTCTCCCAGATGCTAGTTGAAATACGTCTGAGTAAATGAATGCTTCGGACATAACGAAACTGACACATACGTATACATGCAGTAAATAAATAAGTTTCGATTAGCTTTTATTTTAACAATTTATTTGCATTTCTAGGCAAAGGACGAAGCCGAGAGTCTACAACGTGGTATACATATGAAAGGATTGAGCTCCGAGACATGTTTAATACCAACCCCAGAAGGGGAAAGTCGGCCAACGGCAGATTCATTCGGATTTATAACAGAATGCTTTTTCCTAACACATCGTGCATTAGATCTTGGTTACAGAGTTATCCTGGACAAGTTTTTAAAGTAAACTAATGATTGATCTTATAATTTTCTGTCAACTGCTCAACGTTGTTTAAACATTACTTTCAATTCTACAGAACAAATCAAGATTTGGCTAGGATACAAAGAGCTTACAATGATGCTCGAACTGGTGGCAGTTCAGAGGTGCTAGAACTCATAACGCAACGAATGGAGACCGAAATGACAAAGTATATAAAGCACATTAATGCATGCACTGTTTTAATTTTGTTTATATTTTTATCATGATTATGCATATATTTTGACCATAGGCCGATATTTATAGTCGGATCTTATATTTAAGACTATCTTAAGTACGATCTTGAGATGTTACGGATCAGTCACAGAGCCGTATTAGCATCTTAAGACAGTTTTGAAATAAGATCCGACTATGAATACGGGCTATTGCATCTTATTTTAAATTGTATTTTAAGGTATATAAAAAGAAAATTAATTTCTTTCTAGGTATCTAACACTTAAAGCGAGTCTACTGGTGCCGAAGATGTTGGAACACTTGGCGAAATTTCACGCAATGACGGCATTTTGGTTGACACAAGTCAATTTACACATTGTAACTGAAGAGGACAAACAAAATTTTGCGCCGAAAGAATATACACCCGTTACATTCCCGTTATCAGAAACTGTTCCAATTACGCTAAGGTATGTGAAATATACATATACCAAATCGCAATGGAAACGGAATAAAAAACGGAATTAATGTAAAAATTGACATCTCCTGAATCCAGATGCATTCCTGAGTTCGTAGTGGAGAATACTATTGGATTCTTGTGTTTCTTACGTCGGTTAAGTCCAAACACGTTCGAGGAGCAGGGTCCGAGTTTTCTGAATCCGATCTTGACGGAGGTAAGTCAAGGTAGAACGAGCTGTACTCTCATCGCGATCGTTAAAGTTATACGTGGTTTCCTTCAGATTATAGTTTTGATGGAGTCCCAGCATCGTCTGTACAATCCGCATCTGCGCGCGCGTTTAGCCGAGAGCCTGGAGGCACTTTTACCGACCGCAGACGAGAACGTTGCTCCAGCAACGCCAAACCTAGGAACATTCCATAGGGAACAGCTGTTTCTCACTCATCCGTACAGACAGCAAGTGAGTAAAGTACTGCTTAGGGCTCATTGTCAAAAGATGCACGCACACCTGATTATTCTTCACGTGCTGTTCCATTTATGAACAGATAATTGTCAACTTGCTGTATGTGTTTGTAAGTATCGAGATGACCGGGCAAAGTGTACAATTTGAACAAAAGTTCAACTACCGTCGTCCAATGTACATTGTTATGGATTATTTATGGAAGCTTGCCGAGCATCGTAATAACTTTATGTAAGCAGAATTTATAAAATCCAATTGCTGTTCTCGTTTGATATCTAATATTCGACACCTAACAGATAAAGCGTCTTATATAATTGTAATGTATCAGTACGTTAGCTCAAGAAGCAGAAAGCAACATGGAAGCGGTTCAACCACCTTTGTTTCTGCGTTTCATTAATCTGTTGATGAACGATGCTGTATTTCTCTTGGACGAAGCTTTATCAAATATGGCACAGTTGAGACAAATGCTACAAGCTAGGTATTAAAAAAAAAAAAACGTCACATGAGATTATGATTTTCTATTATATGTGTGTGTCATATTTCTTAAATGAAACACTTCTATGAAACACTTTATGATAAATTTATATTAAGTCGCTTTATTTTCTAACACAAGGGAAAGCGGAGAATGGAATAAATTGCCACCGAATGAACGCGAGCAACAGGCGGCGTA